GGCGGGGGGGGGTAGGGGGAGGGTCGTTGTTCCCCATCTCCGGTACGAAAGCAACGAGCGTAGTGTCGGAATCACGTGGAATTGCACCATTTGGGCAATTAGCACGAGAACAGCAGGCCGCACGCGCCTCCGACCATCGACCCCGCCACACCCCTCCTCCCTCGCTCGTGCGCCATGAATGAGACAACGAGAGTGTACGGTTACACGCTAACGACTCCCGGCGTTGTACTTGTTACAAGTGTTACAATGCCGTTTGTTGCAGTGTCGCGCCGATAGTTTCCACAAGCCTTTCGTCTCTCTTCTCGCCGTTCTCGCTGGAACGTGGCTTGCATGACGATTCCAAGATACCGTTGACGACGTATCGACGATGAATCCAATATAGCATGATTTTAATTGTCATTCGTATTATTTGAAACGGAAGCATCGCGTACTCCTAGGAAACGGAAAAGTCGGTTTTCGCTGAAATATCTAAAAAGTTTAGGGTAAATACAGAAATCTGTATCTGAAAAATAACTTTGGCGGCTCGTTAAAATAATTATGTAGGAAATTCAAGCGTGATGGGGAGCAATAAGTTTCGACACTCTAACAATTGATTTAATTGTCATCGTTATCTTGAACCCAACAAAATTATTTTCAAATTTAACTAAATTTCGAAATACTTCAACTATTCTTTCAACAGCTGTTTTTTTTTTTACAACAAAAATTATTCCTAGGATTACAAATTGATCTGTAAAAAATGCATTGCATATTTCTAGTCTCTCTAGCGTAATTCATATTTTCTTTTATATTTTATATCACTGCATCAACTTGATACATTAATTTTGGTAGCGCGCAAACTAACGCGTTTCGTATGCGGTACATTAATGCTAATTAGCTCGACTATGGTTCTTATTGTTACAGTCTTTCTTCGGGCGCTCCTACAACAACTTGAACAGCATCGCCGACTGCAAGAATGACGGCAAGTGCGTGATAAATAAGAAGAATCGCACCGCGTGTAAATCTTGCCGCCTACGGAAATGTATCTTCGTCGGCATGTCGAAATCTGGCTCGCGATACGGTCGCAGGTCAAACTGGTTCAAAATCCACTGTCTATTACAGCAGCAACAGCAACAAGAGCAACAGCAGCAGCTAGAGCAGCATCAGATGCAACAGCAACAGCCATTGCAACAGCGACAGCAACATCAGCAGCAACACTACCAACCGGCTATTCTCATGTCGCACCAACTATCGCAACAGCAACGGAATCCAACAAGCTCGCCCATCCATGGTATGCATGGTAATCAGTGTAGGGACGAAACCTTGATGATGAACGCGGACGACTACAAAAACTCCAACTCACCTAACATAAGTTCGCCCGAGTCCCACAATAGCGACAGCTCCGTCGATGTCTCTGAAAGGAGAGCGGCCTTCGCCGGACATCCCAGTATCCGGCCGCTTCCGCACTTGCCACCAGTTGATTTGTCTGCTCTGAGTCTGCCATTGGGCTTTCCTCTCAGCGGTATGTCTCTTTTGCCGTCGCCTTTCATACCACCACCTAGCATCGCCATATTTCCACCCTACGCTCACGTATATGCGACGTCGCACAACACATCCCATCACCTCATGGCGAATCATCCGTCCAATATGCCACAACGTTCGCCAGTGCCTACGAGCGATGAAAACGACGAACCCACAACTGCGACGACGTCGACCGTGACAACGACCACAGCTACGACCGCGTTAAGAATCTCAACGTCGTTAGCCTATAACAAAGACTCCTACGAAAAAAATAACAATAACGACCGATTCTGCTTAGATATGGTCCTAAAGAGCGAGCAGACGTCGGAAAGACCGCGGAAGAGAATGCTTTCCGAAGATAACTCAACCGAGTGCAGCCCGGAACGGGAAGTCACTTGCTCACCACCGCAAGATAATCCGATGGATCTTTCCATGAAAACCGTCGCGACACCCGATCGTACACAAAAGGAAATAGACGATGAAATAGACAATGCCAGTGATGCAGAAAACTCAGCTGCGAAGAAACCGATCGATTTAACGACAAAATCTTAAGATTTGATATATAATTCGAAAGAATGAGGTGAATTGAGATGAAACAAGGACGTTCTTCTTTCTTCTCTAATGGACATCTGTTCCTATTGGGACAAAGTGTAATCGCGCTTTATTTAAATTTACTCACCTATAGTTGTTCGTCAGTTTTATTCTATTTCAAAACCGGGAATGTGTGTTTTGTAATAATATTATTATTAATTTCACACGGAGAGAATGTTTTTATCTCGTTATTCTCTGGTTACAAGATCCCGTGTTCACGAATAGCTTTCTTGGTTGTTCTGTCGTCCATATGCACAGGATTGCTATGGATTAACTTTCGAAAATTCATACCGTTTGATATTAGAAATGGTATGCCACAAAGCCAAATGTTTTCGGCTTATCTCTAGCTTTATTCAATCAAGCGCAATCGTCGTTGAGCGCTAACAAAAATTATATTTCGTTCAATAAATGCGAACTCGAAAAATGATTTGTTTATGTCGATTAGATTTTTAAATAGCGATAAAATAGTTTATTGGTGAGGCACTTATGTTGGTATGCATATTTTATCATTTATTGTTGGCGAGAGAACGAATTTCATGTTAATTCTATATATATTCGAATTAGCATTCAAAATGCGGACTAAGAAAAACAGTCTTGAAGAATAGTACTGCTTCTTTCAGTTTAATAGAAAAACCTTATTTCTTTTTTT